GCTATCGATTATTTCTGTGCTGAAGATTTAGATTGTCCTCCAGGGGCAGTGGAGTGACAAGGCACTTGGGGGCTGTGCTGACTGGGACACATCAGATGGCTCCAGTGACGTTTCAGTGTTTCTCTGAGATGGATGTTTGCTGTTCCCCTCCACGGGCAGTACCCAGGGCAGAGGCGGTGGTTTATTTTGGCATAACGATACAAAAGCTTGTGTTGCAGCAGTTACTAGTAGCTGTACTATATATACATACAAGGTTTGGGGAGTAGCAAATACTTTTAATGAATTTTGCTTTCTTATTCTTTTGTTCTCACTGGTCTTTAAGCTAGAGACTAAGGATTTCCTAAGAAAGCCAAAGAATACATTTATTTGGTAACTTCAAAGGGTTCAGTGCAGAATTGGTTGTTCTGAAAAGCAGGCCTAGGAGGATTTAAATATCCTATATCTTCCAGCTTGATTTCAGTGACATGCTGGCACACAGTGAAATAGAAGATCCCTTTCTAGGTATTCCACATATCAGTTATTTAGTTGAGGAGAATCAGCTTGGATTCACAACAGAAAGATCGTGCCTGAAAGTATCTGTCTGAAAAGTTTAAAACAAATAAGCTGAAGTAGGGGAAAGAGGGGACACAATTTACCTGGGATTTGAAGGCTCGTTTATACAACCACGCTGCACAGAAGCCCATGCTGTGTCAGCGGGTGGGTTTAATGGGTGCAGGAGAGCTGGCTGTGATACTCAGTGTGAAGAGCTGCCTTTGCATGGATGCTGGGAAAGGGCAATGTCACCAGGACAGGCCTGTTTTACTGGTAGCCTGGGAGGAAAAGCAGGTGAGTTCCATGAAGATGTTCAGTCTGCTGTGGATACAGAGCTAGGGGTACCACTGCTGTAAAGGAAACAATGTGATTGAAAAGACCCTGACGGGGCTGCATAAGGTGGGTAGATCAGCCATTGACTGAAACTGAAACCAGGGTCCCCCTGCCCCCTGAAACTTTCTAACGTGCCTTGAAATCCTTTGCACCCACAGAGGCTGCTAACTCAGCCTGCAGCTTTTGCTGACTCCTCCCCATGCTCTCAGTTGTCAGTAACCATGGAGATACAGACGGTGACTCCAGCCTCAGCCTCCCTCACGGTGTAGCCCTGGTGAAAGAGCTGCTGTGCTGTACTGCGTGTGTTTTTCTAGAATTAATTAATGCCCTTCTATCTTGTTTTTTCCCCACCTCAAGAAGGAGGGGAGGGGAAAATAAAAGGAAGTTTTTCCCTCAAATGGCTGGTAAAACACGATAGTCTGATGTTTATTACTACTGCAGAAGATCAGACAATACTGACAATACTTACAGAGTCTGGTGAAGCACCTGTCTCCTCCCAAGCTCTCCAGCAGGCAATCATCCCCAGCACTGTTTCAAGTGGTAAGACAATAGCAAATGAAAAGAAAATTCCCTGTTCCAAGGCTATTTTTACCAGAGTGGTGCAGTTCCTGTTCAGTAGACTTATTCCTCGTAATCTACATCACGGATGATATTGGATGCTATTTTAGGCATTGCATAAAATGTTCACCCAGTCTTTGCTAAAAAAGAAGCAACCAACCCACAAGTCCTTTGTTAAATGCTGGTTGCAAGACTTCAGCAGTGGTTTGGGTGGAAAGATCTTAGACTGAGGTTCTGGAACCATCTTGCTTGGTTTGAGAACAGAAGTTTTGTGTGACCTTGGGTCACAACCACCCCCACGATTGGTTGGTTGGTTGGTTGGTTTTTCCATTATCCTGAAAATGAGGAGAACACTACCACTATCTCTTTAGGGTTTGGGCTCTTCTAAGTAATCTGTTGCAATGGAAGTCTGTCTCCTGCTCTCTCCAGCATCTTGCAGAGAAGGACCCAGTTTGTAGCTGGATTTTCTAAGCCCTCTTACAGTGCAGTAATGAAACCGAGTGCACTGTCTTGTGTGAATATCAGAATTAAAGAGAAACACCCACCTGCACAGGTGAAATCTTTTACAGTTTGGACCAGGCTTCAGTCGCAGTCTCACCACCTCCTTTACTGAGACTGTAAATGTCTTTACTCCTCTTCAAGAGGTACCGTGCTGAAAATGTAATTTAAACATTTCCAGGTCTTTGACTTATCAACTTCCTAATGCTTGTATTTTCACTGCATTGATTTTATGTGATGAGTTTCATGCTTTTGTGGCTAAGCCGGGAAAGCATGAGGTTAAATCTCAGGGCTAAGTGTTCTCTGTGTTCCAGGATTTGCCTGGATTAGGCCCTTCATCCCTGACTCCTGTGCCTTTGTCTTGTCAGAAATGTTTTTATAGGTGTATGAAAGACATATCGCAGGGCAGCCAGAACAAACTCGATGATTGAGATGCTCTTTTATTTACAGTATCTTATGATGAAGCCATTTGCCATGGGCTGTTTTGGTAGATTGTGTCCTTGGAAATGCTTGCATGGGCAGATCAAAAGAGACTTGGATGGCTGGTTGAAGGTTTATCCGTAGGCTCCAGGGTGTAGGACAAAGCCTGGCAATACATATCTGTCCCTTATGAGCCACGTGAGTTCTGTCAGGAACATCCGAGAGAAAATACAGGACAGTTTTCAGGACTTCTTGCTATCCCTCCACCATCCCAACTCCCTGGTGTTGTTTCTGGGGCCTCCCAGAGCTCCTGGCTACTTTGGGGGAAGTGTGGCTGTGAAGGGGAGCTGAAGAAGTGAGGGAGGGACCAAGGCAACGCTGTGAACAAACACCAACTGTTAAATGGTGGAGCTGAGGAAGACGAGGGCAGGATTAGGGTTTCCTTGGTTTCTGCAGGGAATGAGCTCTGCAGTGGGAGGTTTGGCAGCAGCAAGCACCCCTTCTGATGAGTCACAGGACGCTTTTTCAGAGGAAGGGTCTGAGAATTGCACTAGTGCCGCTCTTGCTCGTTTTTTTCTGTTCACTCCGAAGGCCTTTTTGCTGCCATGTGGTACCTGCTGCACTGCTATCCTTGTCCCATACATCCTGTCTTTGGAGCTACCTTCCTCCATTTCCTCGTTCTCCTCTCTGCTGCGGTGGTTTAAAGAGTGGGGAAAAACTTGTCAGGTCAGGATGGAGATGCTTTGTAGTCACCAAGATCTGTTTATAGCAGCGAGGGTGGAAGTTGTGGTTGATACAAAGTTTGATGGATGTGTGAAGTCATCTTGTCATTGTTGTGGGGGAAGACAGTAGGGAATCGATTCCCTTTGCAGCCCTCTACCCCTAAAGCTTTGGGAGAGTGACCCTGGAATTCTTTGAGAAATTTGTTACTCCTTCCTGCAAGCCCCTTGTTCCTTTCAAAGGTAAATGGTGTTCGTTAGACCTCTCCCAAAATTTGTGGTAGGGAGATATTTCATTTTCCTCTCAATATCCTTCCCTCTCAAGTACTCTGCTGACACAGGGACTGAGAAGCACCAGCTGCCAAGTGGATCTAGTTGACTTGTGTGTCCTGACTGCAGGGAAATTTAAGCTTGTCTTCAGTCCTTAAGAGTGTGGTCAGGCTCATTGGTTATTCCTGAATGCTCCTTCACTGGTTATGCTGTTTCATTACAAACTTCCAATGCTCAAAACCAAACCAGTTCATCTTTTAACTTTTACTCACTCTATTAAAAATTTAGTCCTCTACACCTTCTCGGCTGTCCCTCCCCAGTTGTGCTGTCACCTCCCACAACACTGGGTGGTTTCTGAATTCACAGGTCCCTTTTCCTACTGAGATTAATATTGTCCTGGAGGAAGCCTTGAAACAGAGAGATGAGATCAAAGCAGGTACAACAGCTGAATAGTGGCAGTAAAACTGGACCCCTCACAGCAACTCGGTTTTGAGCGGAACTGTGCAGTGAGCCCTGTTCTGCTCCTGTATTAGTCCTGAAGTGTCCCTGCTTGCCCCTACAGTCCTGCAGGACTTCTGCATTTTCCCTGGTTTTATTTCCCCTTGGTGTGAGTAAGCAAATGCAAGGCTCAAATAACAGCATAGTCAAGCTGGTTCCAACATGCGAGCAGAAGCATTAGATAGAAACATAAAGGGGGAGAGCGAATCACCCTCCTAATCCATAATGCAGAAAACGCTAAATCCCTCCAGCCCTCCTTTTCAGCATGGACCATCCATAAAACCTGTCTGGGATTTGGATCACCATCGCGGCGGAACCCGGGTGTGCTGCTGCTTGTGTGCAGTGCGTGCCTGTGTGCCTTTGGCAGCAGCACAAAAGAAACCAGTTGATGATATTCATAGGATTAAAGGCCCGATTCATGGGGACACACTTGGTTGGATGCAATTAAAATGCCTGTCAGGCATTTGATACCAGCAACTCCTTGACAAACTGCTTCAGCAGCCGCGAGGTGCAGCATCCTACTGTAAGTGGATGATGGCGGAGCGGGCTGGTTTGTCATCGTTCTCGAAATTTCTGTGGCCAGAGAACTCCCTCTTCCTCTCCCACTCACCCTCTTTTCCTTTTCACCACTGCGGGGACTTCTGATTTGCAGTTTTCCTTTTCCTGACGTACACACGGTAGATACAAGCTGGTGGCTTGCAGACTGCGTCTGTCTGGAGATAGGCAGCAAGCCGATGGATAACAACACTCCTGGAGAATGATTATGCAGCAGTTATTTAAGGATAGGCTTTTGTGGTATGACACAGCACGTGAGCTGGTAACGATTTTATTTTAAAAATGTCAGCTTTGTTTGCTTGTTGAGAATTTGAAAGAGCTATGCCTTTATGCTGAAGCTTTTTGGATTTAGTCTGCTGTAGATTAAATTCTGTAGTGGTGCACGCTGGATGAATTAAAATGAATAGGTAATAAACTTCTGTGGGTTTGTTTTTAAATATATCGATGCGTACATAATGTGTATTATATGTACACACACCTTCATACACACAGGCTTGTTTATGCATCTGTGTCTTTGTACAATAGAAGAAAAACTTCTTAAAGCTGAAGACTGTTTTTCAGCTAAAATTAAGTGATTTCAGTTTATTTTTTGCCCCTCCCTCTGTTTTTTATTAACAGATTCTTCAGCACATAGTCTTGGACACAACGCGCCAATTGGAATCTGCTTGTTCACCGGCTGCAAAGGTAGGACACCTCTGTTTAATGTGGGAATGAATGTGATACGGGGTGTGGGCTGTGCTTTTTTTATTTTGTTTTTCTTTTCTGATTGAAACAATAGATGTTTTTCTTCATTTTGTCTAGCGGTTTTTTGTGGCAGCTTTGCGGAGATTTTCGAATTGCTTTGGCAGGCACTGTGAAGTTATTTTTGATGTGTATGCGTACGCTCTAGCTAATTAATTAGTCCTTTCGGCTGCAGCTACCACAGGGAGAGATACAAACCCGAGTGCTTGTCTATTGTCTGCTTTACTATAGTGAGAGTGCAGGGCTGTCTCCCATCATACCAGATTTGGGGACGTGATAATATTGATTTTAACATCAGCAAGGACAGGGTTAAACTTGCTGGCTTGCTGAGAGCAGGTACAGTCTATCACAGCTGAAAACATAATGCTGGATTCAGACTGTATCACTTCCATGGGAGAGGGAAACTTCTTTTAACCCATTCACTGCTGCCAAAAACCATGTGTGCTTCAGCTCAGGGCTTTTATGCTTTTATGATTTTTTTTTTTTTCCCAGCAGCCTGGCAGGGCATGGTAGTGCTGGGTGAGCATCTGTCTTATGGCTTTTTGACACACCCCGGCACTTCAGAAGTTATGTCTGTGTATCAAAATGAAGAAAGCAAGCTGGTTTTTTTTGACAGTGTCATTACTAGTTCCCAGGAAAGTTTATTGTCCTCTTCTCTGTAATACCTTCTGGCTTTGGTAGCTTTAACCCTTTGATGCTGTAAAGGAAAGAGGGAGATAAAACCTTGCGGAATAGAAAACATTAAGTGACTTTGTATAGAACTCTCAGATGTGTTCAGGTAGTTAAGGAATACAGATCTCAGTGATTTGCAGTGGGGACTGTGCCCTTAAAAAAAATCTAAGCAGGATTGAAAATCTGCTCCCTCCACCTTGATGGAGAGAGAGAAAGGTATATCCATCTTCAGTTAACTTCTCAGGTGCCAGTTCTCACCTAACACCTACCAAACCAGACTTTATGATGTGTTGTTCTTCCCAGGTGCCCTATAGGTGATCATACTTCTTAGCCCTGCATTTAGACCTGGAGGGAATGTGTGTGTTTGTAGGGCAGCAATCCAAATGCGTGTTTGTCTTTATTCTGAAGTTTCAGGGGGCCTTTTGAAAACTAGAATAAAACAGCTGAGAAATTCTTCAGGAAAGGCAGTTATGTTTCATAAGCCTGGACTCCTGAAATGGCCAGTGTGGGTCCCCAGACAGGCAAAAACCCCAAGTGAGAACCTGGGCATTGGCAAGGATGGGGAGCACTGCTAGCAGGAATGCATCCCTCAGAAAAGAGATGAATATTGCAATACATTGGTAGGGCTGGCTGATAGGTGCTGCTTCCTGGTAGAAAGCATTTGTGAATTTTTCAGGATATTCTCTCCTGGTTTTTTTGTCTTCCTCTTCTACACATCTTTCTCTTGGCCCTTCTTTCTGCCTTGGCAGAAGGCTTCTTTCCTAATAGATTTTACTGGCTAAATGAAATATTTGAAAGGAATGCTCTACTTGTTGGTTTTTCTTGGTTGCTTTAGCTACTGTTTCCTCCTGGTATCAGATATCACTACAGTCATTGAAATAGAAAAATTTGAAGTAGATAGTGTATAAAATGCTTTAATTCCTGAAAAATGCATTCGACAATCTGATTTTAGCTAAGAGCAAGTCCCTTCTCTTCCCTCTACTTTTAATTTCACTTCCATTATCCAAGGGCAACAAGCCAAACTGCAATCTCATTCTGATTTCATTAATGTTTTGCAAACTCTGTCTCAAGGACTAACGTTGTTTGCTGGGCTTGAAGTCAGAATCCAAGGTTTTACTGCAGCATTGGAGAGGGGGAAAGGAGAGAACTCTTGCAAATAGAAATGGTGGTATTGTTAGCAGATGAGTAGAACTGCCTAGTTTTTATAGTATTGGCAGATAATGAGTCCAGTTTGTTGACAGCATGATCCCTTCAGATGAATGGTTTTCATCTGCTATGGAAATGTCTCTTATCTCCTGTGCACAGCATCTTATCAGTCCTCTAGGATCTGTCAAAAACAAAGAAAGGGCATCAACTATTTGTTATTAAATCAGAGTTAGTGGAGACTGTTTTTTTTTTTTTTGTTTTACTACATATACATTTCTTACATTTCTGATTTATCTATCATTTTAACCTCCTCCTTTGATCTGGGTTTTTAAGATTCATGTTACAAATCATTCCTTCAGACTACAGGGAAGAAAATGAGATGTTGTGCTGGCAAAAATAGAAATTATTTCAAGCAATGTAATTTTCTTGAAGAAGAGGTAAGGGGCACTTATGCTGTAAGAAGAGAATTAATTCTAGATTGATAGGACTTGAAAATCCTGTGGCCACAGGGATAGTGTAAGATGGCTTGGAATATCAAAGAAAAACATTTATTTAGCTGATAGAGAAAGGCCTCAGAAGCTGGAGTGTGCAGTGGCAGTGAGGTGTACTGGATTACAGTTTGTGGACTCCAGGGCACGCATCCAGGATGACGTGATCTTTGGCACTCACCTGCAATTAAACATATGACGTGGGCACCAAATGCACCAAAGGCATCCAGAAGAAACGTGTGGTGTCAGTTCATCCCCAGGGTTCTCCTGCAGGGAGCAGCTTCAGAAATGAGTTTGGGCCCCCGGGTCTGCCCCTGTCCCGAGATCCTCATCCATTTTTTTAACTGCACTTGTGATGGCCCTCATGGAGGAGGTAAGGAGGAATTTGGTTTTATGGCTGGTCTAGGCTGGGTTTCAATATTCTCTGTTTGTTTACTAGGGTTAGGGTTACATCACTAGGGTTAATGTTGTCTTATCCTGTGATCACATGAAACAAGTATTGGTTTGAGCATTGGAATTAATGGTGCTGACTTTCCTTTGATTTATGTCTTGTGCTTGATGAAGTGAAGATTTTCTTGCTGTTTTACTGATCAGAAAGACTGTCCCCTAGGCAAACTGTTTGGTGGCAAGTAAGAGTCCTATGTTACAGCTTTTCTTTCAGCTGGGACAGGGCTGGGGTCACTTGCAGGGTCTACCTTTTGTACTTGAATGTCTGTTTTCATGGGACTTGTGGGAAGACAGTTCCCTTTTGTAACAGAGCAGGCTACAGTTGGTCAATGGACTCAACAGTTATTAGCTGTGGAGAACATAATCCACACAAAACTGGCTTTCTGTGAGTAAGGCTGGAAATAATATATCATACCCTGATGGAAGTTCTTTCCATATGGGTTTGCATCTTGTGTCCTCTCCTCCCTTGCCACATTTTCCATTCCTTTTGTGCCAGAGTACCTCTGTTTCTCTATGGCCTTGTGCTGTCAGCTGGGCAGGACACAAGGGTGCTTTAGGGCTGCTCTGGGGTGCTGACTGGCCATGGTGTGCATGTGGTGCCTGTCTGGAAGATCAGACTCAGAAAGTGGTGAGGTTATGGCAGTGCTTTCTTCATTTAAGGGGAGGACTCATTTCAGCTTTGTTTTTCGCTTCTAGGAAGAAAGTAAGTTTCCATCCTTAAATTCTCTGTCAAGCTAGATTTAAATATTAAGAGCTAGGGATAGTTAAACAGCAGAAGTTTGGTTTAGGAACGTTAGGAAGGACCCTCTATAACCTGTCAAGAAAATAATCATCAAAGCACAAGAATCCAATGGAGGATAAACTGGACCAGGAGCTCAGCTGACATGACCTCAACTGGAGGAAGAAGTGAATAGGTGCAGGCCTGTGGTTCCTGTAAACAGCTGTAAACTACCAAGTTAATTTCTAAAAATTTGTGTCCTCCTTCTCTTCCTTATTTTCTTTGTCTCTAAAACATACAAAGAAATACCAATGTATTTCTCAGGAGGAGTATTCATCAGCTTTGCAAAATGATTGAGGTCCTTGGATTTGATTATGAGACTTAGTATGGTATCTTTTGTCTTGGCTGCAGTAACAAAGGTGAATGTGGTATTACTGTAGTAGCAGTACCAGTAAAGGGGTTAAAATACATTTAGTAAAAGACTTGATTTCTCCCAGCTTCACCCATCAACTGAACTCTTTTTTCTTCTTTGCTGTATGTTGTGATCATACAGGTCAGTGGTGATATTTAAGACGTTAATGAATCAATGGCAGACAATTGATCTGTCCCATTTCATACAAAAGGTGCTGTTTCTCGATGGGCACTTAGCTGGCAATCCAAAGCTGGGAAAGGCAGAGACTGTGTTGCCAGCAGCGTGCTAGGAAAAAACCTCTCTAGCAGCAGTGCTGCTGACTCATGGTTTACAATCCTGAAACATTCCCCGAAAGGCTGGAGGTGCAGATTAACTTCCTTTCCCTGTCCTGGTCAGGGGACAATTCATTCCATTATTTGCCACCAAGTGAAGCCTCTAGATAGTTATGCACTGCTGCGTTTCCTCTGATGTTCTGTGGAATGCATTAGCATGGAGCTTGCGAGAAATCATGGGCAATTTATTTTAATACCCCGGGTGTCAGTCGGTGCTAAATCACAGAAGCTATTTATGTTTGTTTTCTGAGTCATCCTGTTTCTTGTGATAAGGTGATTTTTCAGTATGTGTGGTTAGTAAATTGGGTTCACCTCTTCTTTTTCTTACTTGGTGTGTATCTTTTCTCTTAAAAATGCAAATATGTGCCTAAATTGGCTAAAAGAAAATGAGTCACATTTAAGAAAGTGCCTTTCTTTAGGCTTTTCATCATCAAGGGGAAGGGATTCAGGACTGCTAGATACAGGAATAGAGAGCAGTGGGGGAGAAATCAGAGAGATGTGTGTTTCAGTGTCAGTGTAAAACTCCCTGTATCATCCAGTTGTCTGTGTCTCTGTAGTTCCCAAGTTGCTTCCGTCTGTATGGAAGCAGCACTGTGCTGCTGCTGCTCAGCATTGTAGCATTTGATACTGAAAAACTTGATCTTATGGTAGAATTCGTAGCCTGGAGTTTTGTTGGGGAGAGAAAGGTGCATGGGGCAGCTCTGGAGACTTGCATGTGACACATCCTC